ATTTTGCAAATCGAAATAATATCAGTTGTAAAAGTGTTGGAGATAGTAGGATAAATAATTTGAGTATATACGAGGGGCATTCAAAAAGTAGTCAGCCTAACTATATTCACGATGTCCAATGTTTGAAAAACTTCAATTTTATTTTGAAGAAATTATTTAGCAAAGCCATATCCAAAATTTCACATATCATAACACACAAATTAGAAATACTTTTATGGTGTTTTTATATTTTCCCTTGACCCCAAATTCAAATTTTAAAACTTACATTATTTACTTCTCTTGCTCATGTGACCATCAAATGGAAATGACCTGAAAAAGAGATACCAACCTCTTGTAACACCACACCTGAACAAACCCATGCTCTTCCAATGGCAATTATGTATTTCTACAAATGATATATTTCCATACATAAACCTATCCAGCCTGGTTCAAAGTAGACAAGAACCTTCAAACAATTAACCTACCGATACCTACCCAATGCTGATTCTACCAAAAAATGATCTTCCCAAAAATGATCTTCACATATCATAATACACTGGGGTATAGTATTTCTTTAAAAAATTGCAAAAATAAAAACGGTCATTTGGTACCTCTTGGATAATGGTATGCGTTGAGATAATATCATGTAACATGTGTTCAGTATAGTATTGGATGACTACCCGTCATAATCAACATTCAAAGATTTGGATTGTTATCCCCCGCTACGCATTTAGCTCGAATCAGGGGATATAGTATTAGGCTCCGTCCGTCCGTCCGTACGAATTGGAATATCTTAAGAAGCATTGACTGGATTCTTTTCATATTTGGTACCTAGGTTTATCACACTATAAGAAAGGTTTTGTGACACTATAAGTCTGGTTTGGTGACCTTGACCTTCATTTAAAAGTCACAAGGGGACTTTAACGTTTTACCCTTGTCAGCGAGATATCTCAAGAACCGTTCTCAAGATTTTCTTCATATTTAACACCAAGCTTCATCAAGGAAAGGCGCAGGGCCCAGTTGATTTTGGTGACCTTCACTTAATTTTCAAGGTCACGACAACACTTTAAAGATTTCAGCATGTTAACCTGCATATACAGATTGTCAGCAAGATATCTCGAGAACCATTCACTGGACTTTCTTCATATATGACACCAAGCTTCATCTAGGGAAGGTGCAAGTTCCAATCAATTTTGGTGACCTTCACTTAATTTTCAAGGTCACGGTGACACTTTGAAGATTTCAGCATGTTAAACTGCATGTTAAAATTGTCAGCGAGATATCTCAAGAACAGTTCACTGGATTTTCTTCATAGACTTTCAAGACTTCCCCTTGTTTCTCAATGTGCAATTTCTTTATTACTATTTTTACATATTTCATACACTAAGACATTCATGTCAGGTCAAAGTGAGTCTTGAAAATATTTGTGTGTTTAAACAACTACAGAGCAAGATATCAAGAAAGGTTGACTGGTCATGTTTTTGTTGACATTTAACTTTATCTTACATTAAGACCTTCACTTCCATTACTTTTTAAGTTTGATTTGATAATTGGCAGCAGGGGATTATGTCATCTTAGTGACAATGCTTGTTATACCCCGCAATGCGTTTTGCGGGGGGTATTAAAATGGACTCTGTCCGTGCGTGCGTCCGTCAGTCCGTGCACATTTGTCTTTTCCGGAGCAGAACTTTAAAACCGTTCAATATTTCTTCACCAAACTTGGCACATACATGGGTCTGGAGGTGTACTGGTGCCTTTTGGTAGTTTTGGAATTCTGAATTAAATATTTTTGGCGTTTCCATGGCAACAAGTTCGACTTAGACTGAAATTGGTGGTAGTGCTCTTTTCCAGAGCAGAACTCTAAAACCGTTCAATGTTTCTTTACCAAACTTGGCACATAGATAGATCTGGTGGTGTACTGGTGCCTTTTGGTAGTTTTGGAATTCTGAATAAAATATTTTTGGCATTTCCATGGCAACAAGTTTGACTTAGCCTGAAATTGGTGATAGTGCTGCTTTCTGGAGCAGTACTTTAAAAACCTTTCAATACTCTCCTTCCACTTTTCTATATACACACCTAAATATTTGACACAATCATAACTCGTAGACATAATCATGAAGGGTATTTTGCCATTGCGGGGGATATTGATGACTTTGTCTTCTAAGGTTTTATTTACATTTAGACTGGGGCTGTTTTCAAGAATACCCCCATTTTGATCTTTCAAAAACATTGAGTCCAGATATTCAAGCTTGATTCTAGAGGACTTCTGCCTATCTCAAACACACAAAGTGTTTCTTGCATATTTTGTTTCTTGAAGTTTGTTATGCATTTATTGCAGATTTTGCGTGTTTTTGGGGTACCAAGGTAAAAAGTCAAACAAAATGGGGATCATGAGGCTCAATTTACTTGAGGTTGACTGATAATATGTAGAAAAATAAACCATAGAAACATTTATCATGTTATGACATTATGATATTTAATGAAACCTCAAAGTTCAATAATATTGAACTTTTGTTACAATATATTTGTTATCATTGTTACAATGTATTTGTTATCTTCCATTAAAACCATTCTCTCAAACTCTTAGTTTGGTTATTGCTTATTAAAATCATTCTCTCAATTGCTAAGTGTCTGGGCTGGTCCATTGTATGAAATAGGTAACAGGCAGGAAATAAGCTGTGTACTGGACCATGAATTTTGTTGTTATAAGCTGTAGGGGTTATGGGATGTAGGGGTTTTTGGGAGGTTACCATTTCAGACATGAGCCATCAATCTAGGTTAATTAACTTGGTGAAAATGATAAGTCACATATGACAAATAAATGACAAATTATGTCTTTGACTTTTAGCTGTTATTTTTTTATGTAATTAATAACTTTGAAGGATGAAATTCTATGGCAAACTTTATATGAGTATTGCAATATTTATGACTTATAGAATCAGTGTTCATATTTATAGTATGTGATCATAGCTTTTGAGCCTGCCTTTCTGCTCATGCTTAATATATATAAGACATTCCTTAATTTCTACATTGTATATCAATAAATGATTGGGATATTAGCATCAGTTCCAAAGTACCTTTCATAGTTGCTTTTTGCATTACAAATCTCACACATATGTATGCACACATGCACTAACACACACATGTACATACACAACAAGTCTCCATAAGAGATTTTCAATGGCCTGTGATGAATCCTCTACCGTTAATATATCACTGCCATGAATCCTGGATTGCAAGACTTTTAAAATTATCCCTGACTGCTAATGTTCATTTCAAGGCATCAATAACAGTACTTTATTTGTAAATCTGCTGTAAATATTATGTTAAAATTTATGTTAACAACTCTGAATGAGAATTTAATTGAAATTGAAAAAATACTTAAAGGTCACATGCAACCAAAAAATCAAACATAATGCAAACACATTTATCACTTCTTCATGACATATAATATGCATTGCTGATTATGAAAAAACAAATAAACAAAATTATAAGCGTATAATCGCAAATCAAAAGTGCAATATTTTGTACTTGGGTTTACCTCCCTCGAAACGAAGCAGCCGGGATACCAAACCCAGTCAGAGTGGGTGGGTGTGCACTAAAGTGTAACGGCTGGTTCGTTTGCAGATGCAATTTGCAATTATATAAACAGTTTATTTACTGTCATAACATATAAAAAGCTCGCGCCTGTGAGATATCAACAAAACATTATGAAAATAGCTCACACCAAAGCCTTCACGGAGTATTCACCAGACAGCCCGCCTCCAAGTTGCGCGAACCTATTTCACTGCGCACATGCTATGAGCGCAGCCCAGCTGTTGAAACCCGTTTTCCCCCGAAATTTTCGGGGGAAAATTAGTGAATCATTTGAACTCCGATTTCGTGCGGTTTTTTTCATTGCGTTATTTTTCAACTTTATAACTTGAATTTGCATTTTTGATTATTTGTTTCGCTACGTCCATACCAAAAGGTATCAGAATCTGCAAAGTTGTGTTTTACGTTGCATGTGACCTTTAACAAACAAAGTCCATAAAAGGTAAGAATTTGTGGATGTCAGCTTCTTTATTCCTAATAAAGAAGTTGACATCTATAAATTCACATCTTTAATGAGGATTGCTTCTAAATGCCATTCAAATGCTTGAAACATACGCTATATATTAAACACTGATGTAACAACATGATGCTCTCGTAACTATTTGTACTGATCAGTTGATATGCTATTTCCAATGACATTAAGATATGTGTTTGTAGGAATGTAATGAAATTTGTGGGAGCCATTGATTACATAGTTCATGCAAATCCACAGTACAGAGAGAAGTGATTAAATGTTTGTCAGTAGGTTGGTACATTAATATTTGTTAATGAAGTGAACTTATTATTTGAAGATAAAGATTATAAAAGGTAACAAAAAATTATACACAATCATTACTTTTAAGTTTGCAATGCATATCTCGAAAGAGTGGCCTCTAAAGTTTGTAAACATAGGGCCATAGGCCCATGATTAAAGGTGTCTGCAAATTCCTGAATGTTTTTAATCTCCCAGGGCTGCAAATGGTATGTGATATCCCTCATTGAAGACTATACTTTTGAATTTGGTAATGAGGTAGAAGAATTTGACAAGAATATTAAAATGTCATTAAGATATTTGTTTCGAACAATGTCACTGTTTTACAGTTGACCTGCTTATTGCCAAATGAAATTTTGCCCGTCAAGGCAAGCATTCTTCAAAAAGGTGTTTTTTTCTTATGGTGGACCCGTGACCCCCAGAAACCTTGACTAAACATTTATGATGCTTTTAGATATATTTTTTTATACTGTCTTATTTATGAGTCTAAAATTTCCTATGCCCTGGAATCAAGTTGGACTGATCACTCTTGAACAGGTTTGTAAGAGCTGGGAGGGATTGGTCATCATTTGTTGGCTCTTGTTCTGTTAAAATTGTCATCATTTTTTTACAGATGATACTTTGTGAATACGAAGTCTATAATTTACTAAGCCCTTTCTGTTTTATTTCTTTGCAGTTATCAAGGAACACTACCCTTGCATTACGCCAAGAGGAAAATGAAAAGATCGATAAGAAAGATTTCAAGTTTGCAACTGGAATAACACTGACAGAAGATGCTACCCATGTTCATGGCAACTTTGTTCAAATTATTGCAGCACACAGGTTTCTTGATGAGATGTTTTCATCAGCAACATCTAAAGTTGTGGTTTCAAAGCAAACTCCCACTCATAAAAACACAAAAGATTTGGACAAAATGGAAGAGATGAGTGGCATTCAGTTCAGGGCAGCCATGCATTTGATTGGAACATCTGAAGTAGAAACAGCAGTTTCAAAGAAACATGGTAGTGCAGAACAAATTTCTCTCTTATTTCATGACAATGCTGGCGCAAATCAGTTAAAACAACGAATACTTGGTTTTAACACTGAAACTGTTGAAATACATGGGAAAATTAATACAAACGAGGACATGGCACTGAAAGAGGTCATGCATGATAACAAAGTCTACGCTGAGTTGAGTCCTGATAGTAAGAGTGTGGTCATAATCTCTGAGGAATGGAATGAACAGTCAGCAGCAAAGAAAAAGATTCAAGTAAAATTTGGACAGGTAAAAGCATCAAGTAGAGCCAAACGAACATTTGCTGAAAACACTAGTAAACACCTTGTGGTTAATAATCCACTTGAACACTCATCTACACCCGAGCAAAGGATAGATCAACCAGATAATCAGGTATTCAAAGTCGGTTCTGTCAGTGTCCTTGTTTACTCAGCAGACATAACAACACTGAAGGTTGATGCAATTGTCAATGCTGCAAACGGCAATCTGAGTCATGGAAGTGGAGTTGCCAGAGCTATACGTGATGCTGCTGGGGATGCTTTAGATGTTGAAGGAAGACAGTATGTTCACAACAATGGCCCCATCCCTGTATCTGGTGTGGTAAGAACAACAGCAGGCAGAATGCCTTGTAGGATGGTACTCCATGCAGTGGGACCAGCCTGGTATGACTATAAGGATTATGAAAAGGTGAAGTGTGAAGATGACCTGTGCAAGACCATCCTGCGATGCCTTATTGAAGCTACTAATGCAGGAGCTGCCAAAGTGGCAATACCAGCAATAAGTTCAGGTCAGTCTAATTGGTGTTGAATTGGATGGTGGAAATATTAATATGTCACAAGAACATTTTTATATATGTTGAAGAATATGTATGTTGGGGATGGTTGGATATCACCTACAAGCGAGTCCAGTAAGTTCGCGCGTCTGGTAAGTCTGCGCAGCTGCAATAGCGTACTTCCGTATCGAAGGTAAGCATCGTCTGCTACCACATTTACGCTTGAAATCGGGACATTTCTACAAGGGACTGGCTTTTAATCACTTAAGCTAAGTACATAGGCATAACATGTTATTTAAAACATGTTAACAATAATTATGAACGAGACTGAATTACGAAAAACATCAATGTACATACCTGCCACGCCCACCCACATCGCTGACAAGTTCATGGTGACCTGTTGAATATTCAGACACCTCCATGGCAAAATGTTGATTGCTCACGGAAGTAAATTCACAGTATCATGTATAAACTTTTGCAGTCAATAAAGTATGTACTAGCATCGCTGATTCACGTAATTAAGGACAAAAAGTTTTCGCTTTTGCCAACGTCAGCCATATAGTCTGAGTTGGATGTTATGCGCCATCAGTTGCTGCGCAGAGTTACCGGACAGCAGGCGATGTCGTCAGAATGCTGGTAAGGTCAACTGTATGGCATAATGCAACGTTTGAATCTTATAGTCATCAATAAAACTAATATTTATAGGTAAATATGATGCATAGCAGCATGTTCAGTTACGTAAACCACAAAAAATAAGAGACGTTAGCTGCCGTGTTGCGATCGATGTGCTTAGGTGCGCGGACTTACCGGACGGCATTGTAGTTGTCAGAGCATTGGTACTATGTGTGTAATACTGATGTGTCCCCACTAAGATATTGCTGGAATATTGCTGCAATCACTTTGAAACCATACTCAATAACTAATATCTTGATCCATATCTTGTCCACAGACTTTTTTGAGCAACTGATGAATTAAGGACTTACTAATTTATACACAAAGAACTCTTGCTTTAAGCACACCATACCATAATGTGAACATATTCTGTTTCATATTGTCCAAAGAAGAAGTTATATTACTGTATATATTGCTGTGTATACAGTGTTCCTGTTAGATGATTTGACCACCAGGTCACATTACTACATGGTTTTTTTCTTTTCTTGTAGGTATATTTCGTGTACCAAAGCAAAAGTGCTGTGATGCATATGTGAGAGCAACAAAACTATTTGGTATGTGGACGGGCAGCAAGAGATGCTTGACAGAAGTTCACTTTGTTGATAAGAGTGAAAGCATGCTTCATATGATAGCCACAACATTCTCTCAATCCAAGCTTTCAACGATCACGCCAAGACCTGATGAGGAAAGATTTATGAAGCAATACATGCACCAAGAAGTTCGTCGGCGTAGCAGAAGCAGAGGCAGACAAACTTCATCTAGCCTACAAGGAGGTCAAACAATTCTTACCGTCAGTGAATCACATGCTGTTTCTGCTGTTGAAGCATCATACACATACAGTGTTGATGGAAAAGGAGTGGTGAAGTTGTACACAGGAGATATAGTGAAAACCAGTGCTGATGTTCTTGTCACCTGGAAAAACACTGACATCCAGCCAATTACCGGTGCCTCCAAAGCTGTCGGAGAAGCAACAGGACACATAAATTTACAGGGTTTGAAGAAAGATTTGTTGTGTGTTAGTAGTACTCATGCAGGAAATATGAGGGATAAAAAACATATCATTCATGCCATTGTGCCTGTTTCCTCCCTCTCACTGAGTGATCTAGAAACACTTCTGACAAGAATATTGAACATGGTATGTGGAACTGATACTTCAACTGCACTTACGCCATTGACTTCCAAGCAAGGTAATCTTAAGATACATTTCATTATTTCTGATAACCAGTGCTTTGATATAAACACACTTTCATCCTCCAATGCTTATTCATGCTTGACAGGCAGGACCCAGGCTCACTTACAAAGAATAGGAGGATATTTGATGTTGCCATTCATGCATTGTGGATGAATTATATTGAGTTTAAAGATCCATTTCTTGTCTGATTTGTTTAATCTGATACTGCAAGTGTCTGGTTCAGTGCCCTGCTTAGCTGAAAAAGGATGGCAACAAGTTTGTGGTTTGTGTCTTCAGTGACTGGTGTCAGCAAATTGTCCCATGAGACTGATACTGAACGGATGTTTTGTTTTTCCTACAGAGTGTCATCCATATTTAGAGTAGTTTGGTAAGATAAGGTGTCAACAGCTTAGGTGTGTGTATCACTTGTATCACTTGCCTGTTGGGTAGCTACTGAATGTATTTTTAGTCTTGACTTTCATACAGTTTGGGGCAGTTGTCATACAGGCAACTGGCAGACAAACAACCCTGCATTCATGAGATAAGGACACTAGGTTTTCAGGATCCATGGTAAAAGTCCATTTAATATTTTGGATGTGGAGCTCTTGGTGAAGAGTTATAACTTTGTTTGGATAATCAGTGGTTGGGTCATGGTTTGCTGTGTAATTGGTATTCTGATCAGGCGATTGATGTGTGAGGATCACAACTATTTTGAATCTCTTCGTGAAAGGCCTCAACAAGAGACTCCTCACCTGTCTGGTTTCTGATACAGAGGCTTTGTCAATCTTGTGGGACAGAATTCTGGCCACCTAGCATTCATAGAAAGATTCATTTGCTTCACTGCTCGATATTCCTCATAGCTCTAGCTTGACCAGCCAGTCTTTGTTGATAATATTGAATTAATGAAGCCCCATTACACCTCTACAAATCTCAGTTTCAAAGCATTTCCTATGTCTGCCAAAATGAGAATGTTGCCACAATAATGTAAAAAATATCCATCTTTACATCAGGAAATTATTAAACAATCCCTGTCTCATGGTGAATTTTTGGAAGAAGTCTCATCTGCCAATTCTTGAGTCCCAAGCTTCTGCACCTTACAATTCTTGATGCAAAAGTACCTGTGAAGATCTGGGTACTGTAGACTGACCCACTACGTCATGTATGTAAGTATGTACTGTAGACTGACCCACTACGTCATGTATGTAAGTATGTACTGTAGACTGACCCTCTATGTCATGTATGTAAGTGTATACTGTAGACTGAACCACTACGTCATGTATGTAAGTATGTACTGTAGACTGACCCACTACGTCATGTATGTAAGTATGTACTGTAGACTGACCCTCTATGTCATGTATGTAAGTATGTACTGTAGACTGAACCACTACGTCATGTATGTAAGTGGGTACTGTAGACTGACCCACTACGTCATGTATGTAAGTATGTACTGTAGACTGACCCACTAAGTCATGTATGTAAGTATGTACTGTAGACTGACCCACTACGACAATTATGTTAGTGTATACTGTAGACTGACCCACTACGTCATGTATGTAAGTGGGTACTGTAGACTGACCCAGTACGACACGTATGTAAATATGTACTGTTGACTGACCCACTAAGAGGCAACTAAGCAGATCAGGTGGTCAGACTTGATAGACACATTCCATCGCATCCCAATTGCATAGATTGATGCTCATGCTATTGATTACTTGATTGTCTTGTCTAGATTCTATTATTTACAAACAGCCGCCCTATAGATGGAATATTGCTGCGTTAAACAACAAACATAGTGGAACAGATTCTCAAACTTTGCCTATTCCAAATATTCCAATTCCAAACAAGATAAAGATCAGTTGTAACTGTTGTTTGATCTGGAGACTGGTAGCGATGTCACAAAAATAGAAGTCACATCATAATGAACCAGAGTTTCTCATAAGAAGGTCTAGCAATGACAGCATAATAGGCCAGAAGTTGCTTTAGATGGAACAGTAAAGACATCATTGGCTGGAAGTGATGTCTAATGTCCGGAAATGATAGCAAGGAGTTGGTTATTAAAAATGATTTTATTTATTGGAACATTCTGTCCAAGTTCTTCATCCCAATTCCTATTAAGGTCTTTGTGGTTCATGTTTTTAAGGGGAAGATACACTGACATGTATGCCTACATAGATACAAATAGGCGTACATGTCAGTGTCACTTTGCATCTGTATAAGTCAGAGCTTACTTGTCCATTAGTAGGTTTCTTGACAGAAATATACCAGAGTGAATGTTGCATGGTAATTAGAAACAATTATATATATATCATATATACATATAATATATATTAGATTTGTAAACTTACCTCTATTACATTTTGTACAAGATATATATGTCTTTGTTTGGGAATATACTTGGAACCATACAGGATTTGGAAGCACACATCACACTTAAGACTGAGTTCAATATGCTTTAAGTTAGAGCTACTAGACTGACTTGAACAGGAACGATTCATATCAGAAGTGAAGACAAGTGAATCCAAAGAAATTTGGTAGAATTTGAATAAACAGGTGCCAATTCTTCCTCTTGATCATAAATAAAAGGCTTTTCCCAAGTTGAGAAAGAAATCCTATCTTTTTAATACTTGGAGTAAGAAAATTGATTAATATCTTTTTATCCCACCAGCATGTAATGCGGTGAGATATAGTCGTCGCCTCATCCGTCCGTCCGTCCGTCTGTCCGTAATCATTTTGTTTCCGGAGCATAACTCAAAGACCGTTCGATATTTTTAAACCAAAATTGGTAGATATGTCAAACATAACCTAAGGTGGTGCCTTTTGCTATTTACAGATTATTGTCATTTTTATTTTTCTCGGTTTCCATGGAAACTTTTTGGAGTATGGACTTAGTCTTAAAGAAGGGTGGGCTTCGTTTCCGGAGCATAACTCAAGAACCGTATAATATTTTTCAACAAAACTTGGTAGATATATGAAACAGAACCTGGAGTGGTGCCTTTGCTATTTGCAGATTTTTGTCATTTTTATTTTTCCCGGTTTCCATGGAAACATTTTGGACTTACTCTCAAAAAGTAAGGATTGCTTTCGTTTCAGGAGCATAACTCAAGAACAGTTCAATATTTTTCAACAAAACTTGGTAGATATATCAAACAGATCCTAAAGTTGTGCCGTTTGCTATTTGCAGATTTTTAGCATTTTTATTTTTCCCGGTTTCCATGGAAACAATTCGGACTTAGTCCCAAAAGTGAGGGGTGGGTTTCGTTTCCGGGGCACAACTGAAAAACTTCTTAATATCTTTCAGCAAAACTTGGCAGATATGTGAGGCAGATGCCAAAGTGGTGCCTTTTGCTATTTGCAGATATTTGTGATTTATTATTTTCTCAGTTTCCATGGAAACAATTTGGACTTAGTCTCAAAAGGGAGGGGTAGGTTTTGTTTCCAGAGCACAAAGCGAAAACTTCTTAATATCTTTCAGCAAAACTTGGCAGATATGTGAGGCAGATCCCAAAGTGGTGCCTTTTGCTATTTGCAGATTTTTTGTCATTTATTATTTTTTTGGTTTCCATGGAAATGATTCAGACTTAGTCTCAAAAGGAAGGGGTGGGTTTCGTTTCCGGAGCATAACTCAAGAACCATTCAATATTTTTCAACAAGACTTGGTAAATATATCAAACAGAACCTTAAGTGGTGCCTTTTGCTATTTACATATTTTTAGCATTTTTACTTTTCCCGGTTTCCATGGAAACGATTCGGACTTAGTCATAAAAGTGAGGGGTGGGCTTCGTTTCCAGAGCATAACTCAAGAACTGTTCAATATTTTTCAACAAAACTTGGTAGATATATCAAACAGATACTAAAGTGGTGCCTTTTGCTATTTGCAGATTTTTGGCATTTTTATTTGTCTTGGTTTCCATGGAAACATTTTGGACTTAGTCTCAAAAAGTAAGGATTGCTTTCGTTTCCGGAGCACAACTCAAAAACCGTATAATATTTTTCAACAAAACTTGGTAGATATATCAAACACATCCTAAAGTTGTGCCTTTTGCTATTTGCAGATTTTTGGCATTTTTATTTTTCCCGGTTTCCTTGGAAACGATTCGGACTTAGTCCCAAAAGTGAGGGGTGGGTTTCGTTTCCGGAGCACAACTGGAAAACTTCTTAATATCTTTCAGCAAAACTTGGGAGATATGTGAGGCAGATCCCAAAGTGGTGCCTTTTGCTATTTGCAGATTTTTGTCATTTATTTTTTTCATGATTTCCATGGAAACGATTTGCACTTAGTCTAAAATCAAGCTGGACTTTAAGTAACTGTCAGATGATTTATTCTTTCAAAGATGTGGAGGCCGGGGGGGATATGTCACCTTCTGATGACTCTTGTTTTAGTATATTTGCTCTTCTATAAATTCTTTGACCAAAGAAAGGAGTGCCCTCATTGGAGGCAGCATGAATGCAGAGATGAACCCAATATTATATATTTTTCCTTATCGTGACTCATGCTTATTGTTTTCTCAGTTTCCATGGAAACGATTCGGACTTAGTCATAAAAGTGAGGGGTGGGCTTCGTTTCCAGAGCATAACTCAAGAACTGTTCAATATTTTTCAACAAAACTTGGTAGATATATCAAACAGATACTAAAGTGGTGCCTTTTGCTATTTACAGATTTTTAGCATTTTTACTTTTCCCGGTTTTCATGGAAAAGATTCGGACTTAGTTGCAAAAGTGAGGGGTGGGCTTCGTTTCCGGAGCATAACTCAAGAACAGTTCAATATTTTTCAACAAAACTTGGTAGATGTATGAAACAGAACCTTAAGTGGTGCCTTTTGCTATTTGCAGATTTTTGTCATTTTTATTTTTCCCGGTTTCCATGGAAACATTTTGGACTTAGTCTCAAAAAGTAAGGATTGCTTTCGTTTCCGGAGCACAACTCAAAAACCGTATAATATTTTTCAACAAAACTTGGTAGATATATCAAACACATCCTAAAGTTGTGCCTTTTGCTATTTGCAGATTTTTGGCAT